TCTGCAGGACGGCACAGGTAGAGGAGTGTAGGGACCTGAGGATTCCTGTCCAGGTAAGGAATGACTTCCACGGGACTTCCATGAACCTGGCCACTCTACTAGAAGGTAAGCAAGGGGACTGTGACTGAGCTGTTTGGAGTAGAGAATGGGAGAGGCTTTAAGGATCAGACAAAAAGTACTAGCACACATGGGAGGCCTGAGCTGGGGTAGGTAACATCACCCATCATGAAATACCACTCACAGGAACACAGTAAAGCTAGGGCTGTGGGCCTATCTCATAGGGCTCGATCACAGTACCAACAGGGAATGGGTAATGTGATGCTGGGCCATGACACTAACCAGCATGTGAATGAATCAGGTCTGGGGGCAGAATCAGAGGGGAGTGGCGAAATGGGTCCTCACTCCTGTGGAACAACAGTCTCCATTGGCACAGCAAGATCTGTAGCTGAGGACCGGCCTGGTTGAGGAGCTAAAGGGATACCCTGGCTGGGTTAGCATTCAACTAGTAAGTACAAGAATCAGAACAGAGGAAGTGGGCTACACTGGACATGGCTGCAGTCTCCCTTGGCATGACTGTGAACTGGGTCTGGGAAGCACCAGACTGGGCTAGACCCAACACCCACTGGTACTCATGAGAGCCAAGATGGGTGTGGAACAGGCTGGGCTAAGCCTCAGCTCCTGCTGAGTCACATGGGTGCTGTGTCTGTGTGGACAAGGTGTGATTGGGCTGTAATACTCAACAACAAGAGCCAGAATGTTTGTGGGCTGATTGGGTAAGGACACTGTTCCTGTCAGGACAAGAGGTGGACTAAGTCAACCTGGGACAATGACCCACTGCTGTATGCAACATCTGCCACTGAAAGGAGACCTGATAAAGGAGCTTAGGGAACTGCTTTGTCAGGATGCAGTCCTTGTAGATAAGTTAAAAAAAAAAAAAGGAAAGGGAAGGAGCAGCCCAGGCCAGGCCAGGTCACTGTACCCACCTACGCATGTAAGCAAGCCAGGCTGGGCCAGTTCATGACATCCATTGTCAGAGCTGAGAACCAGGACAGGGTGCAGGAGGGGCCTGATTAGGATGCAACACCAGTCAGTTCACACTAGAATAAGAACTCAAGGCTGGTTGGTTGGGCTGGGCTAGGCTGCTACACACACTACAATTGGCAGCAGGCTTGACTGAGCCAGGCTACAGTATCCACCAGTGGATGCCAAGGTGAATCATGCCAATCTGGGGGAAGTGGATGCTGGATCCATGAGCCCCAGGAACAGCAGGTCAGGCAGGGCCTGGGTCATCTGGCCCACTTCCTTGAATGCCAGGATTTTGAACCCTGGGGGCAGGGGATCCAGTGGGGCCTATTCGCCTAGCACAGGTCCTCAGCCTGCCTGCATAGAGGGTGCCAAGTCAGTGAGTTTCAGGGATCAGGTGGTCAGGAGGCCTGGATTGCTTGGCCCAGGCCCTAAGCCTGCCTGCATGGTGGATGCCGGTTCCATGAGCCCGGGAGGGAGGGGGTCCAACAGGGTCCGGGGCCCCAGGTTGTCCCAGGTCCTTGGCCTGTCTATGAGGTTGATGCCGGGTCTGTGAGTCCTGGGGGGCAGGTGATTGAGCAAGTCCCAGTTCACCTGGCAGTGGTCCTTGGCCAACCACCAGAGTGAGTGCCAGGTCCATGAGCCACAGGGTGAGATGTACAGTATGGGCAAGGTCATCTGCATAGGTCCTTGAGCACACCTGTGAGAACTAGTCCTACTCAGTAGAAAAAAATAGAATAGTGAACAGCTGGCCTTGATCCACATAGAAGATATCACAGCCCATTGATGCCTACACAGGCCATCTGATACCTGCCAGAGGAAGGACAGAACAAATTGGAAAACTACCCCTAATCAACGATGACAACAAATATCTGGGCAAATGGAGACTCTAATATCAACTATGTCAGCCAATGGACCTTGGAAGAATTTCCTTATCTTTACATTGGTGAGATTAACAATGTTTCAGAACTATTGAAACCACCTGGACAGAACCCTCTGAGCATGTACCACAACAGGACCCTGGGTTGATACCAGGTGGCCATTCCAAATCCTCATGTTTGGGGTGGTTGGGGAGCTGAGTGTAGCTTCTGCCCTTATACCTCCCTCCCTAAGAAACAGGAAGAAAAAAATAGAAAATTTGAATACAATGGCCACACCCACTTTTCCCTAAACCTTCATCCTTCCCACCTTAATCAACTATGTAATCATCTAAAATTAAAAACAATTATTTAAAGGGTATATAATGTACAAGCCACACAGAAAAACAAGGACTTGCAGGATCTTACCCAAGTCCCTGTTCCATGAGCAGTTTAGCTTTGGGACTGGGCCTAGCAGGGCAAGAATGGGATCCATTGTCTACATCTGAGATTCTCACAAATTCCTATAAGTCAAATTCAGGCAACTTAGGGATGGCTCCAACAGCTCTAATCTCAGACCTGCAGCAGTGTAACTTAGCAACACCCTCAATGTTTATCAGTAGCTTGTGTACTAAAGGGTGCAAGCCTTAAAGATATATATACAAATGGAGCCTTCTCAGTCACTGCCCTCACCCCATCTCCAGTTCAGTACATCAGTCTCTGGGGCCACAGATCACAAACAGCAACAGGTCTGGAATTGCTGACCAAAATGGGGTCCTTTCCCAGGTCCATCAGTGTGGATGCAGGTGACTATGGAACATAGCCTCAAAAACCTAGGGCTTTTGGACATGAAGGCACCTGATACATGCCCTGCACTGTAATCTCAGTTAATAACTAGGATTGCACATTAGAAGGGATAGGCCAAAAGCAAAGGAATGCAGTTGAGTCTTCACTGTCCCTATTGGTGAGCACAGGTGTCCATGTACTTTACATAACCCGTAGCCACGGTGCCAGAGCTGCAGATTTTGTAGGGTCCTTATTCAGGTCACACAGGGTGACTTCAGGAATGTTATTATCCACAATTCTGAGCTCTCAATACATCCTATCTGTTCATTATATATCTGTTGACTTCACTCCAGGTATTCTGATATGGAATGTGGACATTTAGATATTCTTAAGAACTGCATTCAACTCCCTTTTTACATTTTCAGGAAACAATATATCAACAACAATAGTCACATTGCTGTGCAATACATTCCCTAAAAATATTCCTCCTGTCTAACTATAGTTTTGAATCCTTAGACCAACATCTGCACATCCCCTGCCCACTATGCTCCCAGGCTCTGCCAACTACCATTACACTCTCTACTCTGATGGCATCCTTTTGTTTAGATTACACATATGAATGATATTCTGCAGTATTGTTTTTTCTACACCTGATTTATGAAACTTTACATAATGGTCTCCAGGCTTATCATACTATAGGAAATTTTGTTTAATCAGTGAATAGTACTCTCTTATTTTATATATTTTGTATGATCTACACTGTATTACATATTTACTTAAATGAATAGCCACAAATTTTACCTTTAAAAACTGTAAAAGAAGGAAAACTTCTGAGAAGACTTGATAGAACTCTGAAGAGCATAGACTTAGAAATTCAGCGCAGAGGGAAGCTCAATGACCCTTATAACGTCTTCCCCAGTTCTCTAGCCTGGGGAAATCTATATTAAAGGACAAAGGTAAGCAGAAAGCTCCAAGAGTCATACACCATCACAGATTGACAGTCTTCATTGTCTTTAAGTCCACCTAGACAAGTGGAAAGTATCTCTGCTGTGTCAAATACTTTTCTACCAAAAAAAGGAAGGGGGCAGAAAACCCACCTCATCTCCCTCATGTCTCAAAAGCATTAGTATTAAGGTGCTACGATATCAGCACTGCTAAACTCTATTTGGTATGAGGCAACAGCAGGTGTGTGACTGCCAAAACGGTGGCCCTGAAATGCCAGGGTACTTCACAGGGCAGAGACTAGGCCCTCCTGAATACTGCACATGAATGGGGCCTTGACGCAAGCCCTAAAGCCTTGTTTACTCTGTGTAATCTAGGAACATTGTTTGAGACTGATTTTGAAGGCAGCTGGTGTGTGAGCACAGAGGAACAGAACTGAACATGATCCCTGCTTAACAACTTAGCAGAGGTTTCTTGGTGGCCAGGGTACAAACTCTAGCACCACCCTAGCATGTCCTGTACGATTTGAGAGCAGTCCCTTTTGAATTCTGAAGCCCTAGAACCATGAGTGCTGGGAACATAATTCCTGGAGCAACTCACAGTCACTGATGATGCCTGGAAAGCCTTATCCGCATTGTTGTGCTTCAAGATGGTAGTTGTGGGACTAACTATGGGAGTAAACCAGCAGTCACACTGTGTGACCTGAATAAGGACCCCACAGCATCCTGAACTGCTGGGACAACAAGAACCCAAGTATTTGAGAGATCACCTACTGCCTCTCAAGGAAACATTAGGAAGATGCTGGTTCAGAAAAGAGGAAACATCATTCAAGCCAACCATTCCTGTATGGGATGTGAGGAGTCAAAACCACACCATAGCCACTCCACCAAATGCTCACTTCATCTTATGTTTAATAAAGCCTCGCAGGGTTCAATAAGGCCTTATCATATAAACAAGAGGCAATTACAAGTCATAAAGCACACCGACTTTCAACAAAGTTTTCTATTTATTCATTTAGGAACTTAGAATGTTAAAAATGATTTCATGATTTTTTAAATCCTGCTGTACCTTGAAAGCATCTTTCATTACTTATTAGTGATTCCTAAGTCCTTTCACAGAAATAATCGAACAAACTTGCAAGGTAAGATCTGCCAGGAGAGACAGTCTTAGAAAAAAAATTCGGATTAAATTTATCAATGAACAAAGTCCACTCAGAAAAGATTAGAGTTGACCTACCAGATTGATTAATCACTTAGTATGTCAAATGTCAATCTCACACACACACACACACACACACACACACACACACACACACACACATTCAAAGAGCAGGGAGGATTTTAAAAGCCTCGATTTTCAGCTTCTCACTGTCTCAGGGAGAGAAGAACTCCAATGGACCCAGTTGTGGCTCTGGTGCTCAGTGTCTCCTGCCTGCTTCTCTTTTCACTCTGGAGATGGAACACCACCAGGCAGAAGCTCCCTCCCGGCCCCACGCCTCTTCCAATTATTGGAAACATCCTGCAGATGGATTTTAAGGACATAAGCAAATCCTTAACCAATGTAAGTACCCATGATGTTCCTCTGGTGGCTTACAAAGGATAAGTAAACATGAATTGACTTTGAAGTTAAAATGTATCCTTGGGGGCAAATATGTGAGCTATTTTTGTGTAGAAAGTGACTCCTATGGATTTGGACAGTCCCATTGCTTTTTTGTTTTTCTTCATTATTATCAGTATTACCCAGAGATAATGTACTTCGAAAAAGGAGAAATGTTTAAGTTATCGAGTGGTAGGATCAAAATACTAAAGTGACTAATTTCATGAGATCAATCTATAAACAACTATACAGGAATGACAAAGGGCACAGAACTTAGGAGTTCACTTAAGAACCTACAACAGCACAATGGATCACAAAATACTAGTAAATTATTCAAAGTCAGAGAAAGAACAGTTTTAATTTGCCAAAATAATTATAGTTTCACTTCCATTGCTTTGGAAGATCATTGACCAAGATCAAGTGCTATTCACCCAGGGAAACAAGGATGATTAAATACATAGATCCAGAATGGTCAAATGCTAGTAGATTGGACAACAAAAGTTATGTGATTATTTCAACAGGTACGGAAAAGATATCTCAGATAATTGTTCCTTTTTATATGAAAACCATTCCCAGTAGAATAGGCACAGAAATGATGTGCCTCAACATAGTAAGTCTTCATATGACAGGTCTGACATCATGCTCCGGGCTGAAAACTTGAAAGACTTTCCTCTAAGTACCAGCACAAGAGTGCCCAGTCTTACTAATTGCAATCCATTTCAGACTAGACCCAAGGCAAGACATTAGACAATGGAAAATTCTAAAGGACATCCAAATTGGGAAACATATGACATAGTCTGTACTGGCAGAGGACAAAACCTTACAAAGAGAAAACCCTAAAGAATCCAACAGAACTATTCAAACCATAGATGAATTACACAAAATTGCAGTACACAAAATCAACACAGAGACTGCAGTTGTGTTTTAGTCAAGAAAACTCTAAAACGTACACAAACACAAGAACCTGGACAACTTGGGTCTAGATGAACAGTGTGTCAAAGGAGAAATCAAATGGAAAATAAAAACAATTTTTTTGAAATCAAGAAAAATAAAAACACAACATTTCAAACCTGTGAGCAACAGCAAAAGCAGTGCTCACAGGAAGGTTGATAGGGATGAGTGCCAACATTTCCAGCATGTTTTCAAAGATGATCAGATGAAGAACAAAAAAGGAAAGAACAAGTTAAAACCAAAATTAATAAAAGAGAAGAAATAATGAAATTATTAAAATTAAAATAGAAAAAAGAAAAGCTATAAAAAGATTAATGAAACAAAGAGCTGGTTTTTAATAGAAAATTATACACCATATGACCAGTTATTCAAAAAAGGGGGAAGCCATAAGTTTATAAAAACAGACATAAACAGCATGTTACAGTTCCTACCACAAAAAAACAAATTACTAGGAATTATAACAAAAAACTATTCATCAACAAATTGGAAAACCTAGAAGAAATCAATACATTACTCAACACATGAACTTCATCATTATTGAGTCATGGCAAACAAAATCTGACTAGAACAATAACAAAGGTTGAGATTGAATCAGTAATAACAGGCCTCAAGTATTAAAAAAAAAAAAAAAGCCCAGGTAAGAGGGCTTCACTGATGAATTCTGTCAAACTTTTCAGAAATAATTCATCTCTATTCAATGTAAATTATTTTTTAAAAATATGAAAGGGAAAGAACCCTCCTAAATTCATTCTGTGAGCCCAGCATAGGTTAAGGCCAAAACCAATCTAACGTGCAAGAAAAAGGAGAATTACGGGATCAAATCACTAAAGAACATACACCCAATAATATGGAGCAAAATGCTACCAAATCCAGGGGCTGGCTTATACAATAGCATATCAAGCTGCCACCTGCATATCAACATCACATATTGCCACTTATTCCCATTCTACTTGTTTCAATTCTAATCCAGCTAAATGTTAATGGCCCAGGAAGAGCAGCAAAGCTCATCCCAAGTATTTGGCTGCTGTCATTCCTGAGGTAGACCCAGAGAAAGTGTTGGCTCCTGGCTTTCATCTGGACCTTATCTGCTCTGACTGTTGCAGCCATTTGAGGAGTGAATCATTCAAGAGAGAGAAAATCAGCATTCAACAGTTACTTGTACTTCCCTGCCTATCACACACAGGTTTCCCATGGTCACAGTAGAGGGTGACCCACTGTCTTCTTTCTAGGTTTTCTGTCCACAGAGCACTGCCTGCCCTACACAGGACAGTTCATGTCCCTTGTCACCAAGCTGAGTTCTGTGTTTGAGTGAGGAAACAAGAGCAATGTGCCTGCCTCTTCATGGCACTTACTGACACCCTTCCTCTCACCGACGTTCTACACTGGGTTAGAAGTCAGTGCTCACAGAGTCTGTCTCAACACATCTTGTAACAGAATTGATGTTGTTTTATTTGGGTTCATTGATGCTAACTTTGGTTATTAGACTGTGCCTGCTGGTGGCTCTGGAAGTTACATAGACAGCTTTGTTAGAACCTACCAAATATGTTTTCAATTTTTGGTTGTGAGCTGAAAGAGTGAGAGAGAGAGATTTTGTAGGTTTTTTATTCCCCAAATATCCTTAATGCCCCATATTAGGCCAAGTTCAAAGCTGGTTGCATGAACATGATTCAGGCTTCACAACCTAGTGAGAAGAATATGAATAAGTAGTCACCCCAGAATCTTTCCAAGAGACACAATAGCAAGATGCTGGATCTAGGAGCCATAGCTTAGTTTCTTCGGGGTTCACTTTAACTACTAAACTAAATACCCACTTGATTCAGAGTATATTTCTTTTATACGATGTACTTATTTTTATTAGTGAGATTTAGAAAGAAGGAATCACAGAAAGATGTTCCATCTGCTCAATTACTCCCCAAGAAGCCACAAATTAGCAAAGAAAAGATTAGCAAGCAAAAGCAAGATTTAAAAAGAGAGAGAGAGAATTGGAAGATATGTCCTGTCATCAGGGGGAAGCAAACAAAAAGCTGGAAGCTGAGTAGGATCTGACCAAAAAAAGTGTTCAAGAATTGAATGACACTATTAAGAGGCCAAATATGAGAGTTATGAGAGTCCCAGAAGGTGCAGAAAGAGAAACTGGTTTTACAGATGTATTTAATGAAATAATAAGGGGGAATTTCCCTAATCTGGAGAAAGAATTGGGAAACAACATTCAGGAGAGGCACAGTACTCCCAACAGGCTTGATCAAAAGCAATCTTCACCACAACACATGATCATCAAGCTCTCTTCAATTAAACATAAGGAAAAGATCCTTAAATGAGCACATAAAAAAATCGATTGACATAGAAAGGAATGCCAATCAAACTCAACAGAGGACCTCTCACAGGAAACTCTTTAGGTTAAAAGAGAATGCAGTGACATATTCCAGATCCTAAAAGAAAAAAATTGTCAGTCCAGAATAATACACCCAGTAAACCTTTCTTTTGTGTTTGAAAATGAAATAAAATTCTTCCACTGTAAAGAAAAGTTAAACGAATATTCCTCTTCCAAACCCACCCTACAAATGATACTTCAAGATTTCTCTTGATAGAGAAAAGGAATAGCACCCAACAAAACCAAAGGCAAATGTGAAAAAACATCCCAGTAAAATGACAGTAGAGGACTAAATCAATGAACAACCCATTGCTAAAGTTACAGGACCAAATTACCACGCATCCATATCAACCCTGAATGTAAATGGCTTAAGCTCAATCAAACGTCATAAATTAGTAGACTGGATTTAAAAAAAAAACACATCTATTTGTTGTCTAGAAAAAATACATTTCACCAACAAAAATCAGTGGAAGCTATATCTCATGGCTTATTGATGTTTCTTTTTTTGTTAGTTTCATCTCTTCAAAACAGTTTCTTGTGATTAAATTATTCAATGACTCAGATCATACAGTAGCATCATTTTCTTCAAGAAGGTTCTTGATTTTTTTTATTAAATTTTTTATTGTTAATAACATTGTATTATGTGATACAGTTTTATAGGTGCTTGGATTTCCCCCACTCCTCCCACAACCCTCCCCCCATGGCTACATAGGATAATTTTTCCTTTCCATTAGCCTGGAATATCTTCTTCAATCCTTTCACGTTTAGTTTCTACATGTCTTTGCTGGTGAGATGTGTCTCCTGTAGGCAACAGATAGATGGGTTTTGTTTTTTGATTCAGACCACTAAGTTATGTTGCTTGGTTGATGAATTTAAACCATTTGCATTCAGAGTTAATATGGATAGGTGGTCACTTGATCCTGTCATTTTAGCAATGGGTTGTTCATTGCTTCATTTTATCTTCTGAGGTTGTATTACTGGAATGTTCTGCACATTTGCCTTTGGTTTTGGTAGGTGCTATTCTTTTCCTTTGTCAACAGAACATACTTGGGCAAGTCTGAAACAGGCAAATTCTTTGAGCTTGTTTTAATGTGAAAGAATTTTCTTTCATTGTCAGTAGTGCTGTTCCACCCAGACCAATTCTGGGTGGAACCCACAGGATGTTAAGTCAATACTATTTTCCCAGTGGGACCAGTGCAATCTGTTGAGCTGGAAGTGAGTTTCCTCCATTAAGCTAGGTATGAACTGCTCCTAGAATAACAGATTACTGTTGTTCCTCCAGCCTCACAGACTTTGCCTCAGTACACAAAATGGCACTTTATGGTGTGGATCTGAGCCATGAAATCCATCCTGTTCCTGGACCCGCCTGCTTTGGCTCTGACACTAGTCTTCTGTTTGTCGTTGGATCAAGCATATCAGCAGGATGGAGAGCTCTGTTTGTAGTAAATCAGGCAAATCAGCAGGTCTATGCCTGGGGTCACCTCATAAGGTTCTGGTGAAATTCCCTTCCCTCCTGGCTGCTGGTGCAGCAATGATTACTAATTGATGTGACAATCATTGTGAAATGTGTACATTCATCCCCAAAACCACATCGTATAGCTGAAATATATGTGATTTTTGCAATCATGATGCAATAAAGCTGCTTCTCAAAAAACAAATAAGTAAAAGGCAATCACTGAGTACTGAGGAACCAGCATAAATCAGTAAATGTTTAATCATTCAGGCTCCAGTGGGTGATGACAATATCACATGGACTCTTTAAACTCTTACTGCTTGCCTACTGCAAATACACGAAGAGAGAAGTATTATGTTTCCATAAGACATCCCAGGTGTGACATTGCCTCTAATACTTACTGTCTTTCTGAGCTGCTTAGGCCGTGTATTCTCACAACGGGGTGAACATTAGAATCATCTGGGTTCATTTTTAAAGACACATTTATTTTCAGCATTTTTTATCATGCTAATATACTGGAATCGAACCGAGAAGAACTGTGTTAATGATCCTGAAGGAATCAATTCCACGTTGCCACATCTCTGTGTGACACTGTGAACTAAATTTGCTCAAAACCTGGAAGTGAACAAACATTAATCTACTGCATAAATGGGAAAATGCTGCTTTTTGGTTTGCAATTTTCTGACTTCATTTTCATTATTTCCAAACATGACATATAAACCTGATTAACATACTGAGTGAGGATTAATTACAATGTTTGCCCAAATTATTGGGATTGTTCATGGCACATTTTAGATGGAAAAGCAACAGTAACTACAATAATCACCATCACATGTATGAATATATTTCAGAAATGTTTGAAGCTTTACCTGCAAAAATTAAATATTTAAGATTTAAAATCTGAGTGACGAACTCTCTGTAGACCAAATAATGTCTTCTTTGGTAAAATTTCCATTTCCTTTTGCAGTTGTCCAAAGCCTATGGCCCCGTGTTCACACTGTATTTTGGCACAAAGCCCACTGTGATATTGCATGGATATGAAGCAGTGAAGGAGGCCCTGGTTGAACGTGGAGACGAGTTTGCTGGGAGAGGCAGTATTCCAATATTTGAAAAATTCACCAAAAGGCTTGGTGAGTGCATGCACCTGTGTGCATGCTCAAGCGTGTACCTGGCTGATCAGCAGTTGGTAATGAAGAGGGGAGGATGGAAAGCAGAAACCTGAGGAGCTCTGTGAGAGAGCCTGTGCCATGCATGTGACTGTTCCCTGTCATCTCCCTCCTCCTAGCCTGGTATTCTCTTACTCACTGTTCTCACACTGACAGGAATCGCGATGAGTAATGGAAAGACATGGAAGGAGACCCGGCGCTTCACACTAATGACCTTGCGCAATTTCGGGATGGGGAAGAGGAGCATAGAGGACCGAGTTCAAGAGGAGGCCCGCTGCCTTGTGGAGGAGCTGAGGAAAACCAACGGTGGGTGACTCTCTTCTGCCCTGCTAACTGGACATTAGGATTGACCTGCAAATGATGCAGGAAGATTTTCTGGGGTTCAGAAAATATCCTTCATCCCCTTAACCAAAATAAACCTTTGCTGTCAATGTTGGAATTCTGCAATGTTTAATGCACACTATCATAAATGTAAGGTACTCAACAGGCTTGTTGCTATTCATTGCTCTATCATTGTTTCATTTATTTTTTTAAAGAATTAACTAACAATAAACCAGACAGTGCAGGAAACTGCATTAGTCCATCATACTATTCTACAAGTTGTGATATCCACATTGTGTATCAGAGTGTCACCTCCAGTTCAACTGCTCCTCTTCATTTCAGATTCTCACTGCATCTGGGAGACAGTAGATGATGGTTCAAGTATGTAGATCTCTGCCACCATGTGACAGAAGCTAAAGAATGGTCCTAGCATATCAATCATATTGGGCACATTTCATTATCACACTTTGTTGGCATGAGAAATGGTTTATTTCTTTGGTGACATTCTTATGCTTTTTTATTTATATGAAAGGAGGAAAAACAGAGAGAGTGAGGAGAAGAGATAACCCATTCCCCAGTTCACTCACAATACTTGTAGGAACCAAGCCTGGGCCAAGCAAAAACCAAAAGCTAAGATTTTCATCCGGGATTCCCACATGGGTGGTAAAGACTCAAATATTTGGACCATTGTATGCTGCCATTCCAGGAACATGAGCAGGGAATTAAAGCCGAAGTGAAGCAGTCAGGACTCCAATCAGTACCCCAATCTGGGGAGCCAGCAATGAAAGGAAGGATTTAACCCACTACATCACAACTTCACCCCATAAAAAAATACCTTTTTAAATATTTTTAATTTCCACTCAAAATACAGAACACCTTGACCTAAAATATTCTAATTTTATTTATATCTGATGAATAATAGAGTTAGTGGTTCATTAAACCTGTGGTAATAAATTCTATTGGAATTATACTACTACAAATTTAGAAGAGGAAAACGAAGCAGATGAAGGGAGGAGAGAATAAGGAGGGTACAAAAAGAAGGATGGTAAAGGAACTGAAGGAAAGAAGAAAAAGGAAGAACAACGGAAAACAAAGGGGGATCGGGAAAGAAATATGGTTATCATCTTAGAATTGTTTCTATAAGGTGCAAAAATCAGTTCTATCGAATAGTTTTAAAATGATTTTTTAAATTTACTAAGAATTTTAAAGATTTTGTGTTTGTATGGAATATCAGATAACCAATTTCAGAAAAAATGTAGTATGCAAATGAAGTTCAGTCAAAAGACATGCTAATTTTATGAATGGTGCTTTTCTCTGCTTAAGAGTCACTTTTTATGTAAATGATAACATTTGTCAAATTATCCTTTCCTGCGGTCTCAAAGATGAAGGCTTTACTATGTATAGTCTAATGTTATTTTTAAACTCTGTTATTTTTTCAGCCTCTCCCTGTGATCCTGCCTTTATCCTGGGCTGTGCGCCCTGCAATGTGATCTGCTCCGTTATTTTTCAGAAACGTTTTGAATATTCAGACCAAAATTTTATCCACTTTCTGAAGCTATTGCATGAGGCCATCAGTATTATGAGCTCTCCATGGGTCCAGGTGAGACCAAGGTCCTTTCTTCATAAGAAAACATGGATCTTATGTACTTGTCATGCTAAGTAAGAACCCACGCTATGAAATGTCACCACAGTCATTCACAGAGCTCTGTGTCGTCAATGGAATCTGAGAAACAGAACTGAGCCCTTGATTTTGTGCACATCAGTTACAAGCTGATGTTCAAGCCCACTGGCTCCTTGACCAGTGCAGGTTCCACCAAGCTCTTGGACCAATTTGCAGGTGACACTGTCTGACTTGACACAAGCAAGGACATAACATTCAAGCTTATGTAGAGTTTAGGGGAGGATAACACCCATCACCAGGATTGTACCACAATGACCTTTAGAAATTTCTATACCACACTTGGAAGATATCATGGGTTAAGAAATCGAAGCGGGACAATATTCATAGGCACAGAGATGACTAGAAAACTGTAAACACATTTGGAAGTTTGATGCCTCAGTCTGAATGCTAACAGACAAGGTCACTAGGTTACATAAGAAGTACCATCAAAATAGGTCCTGTGTGGTAGCCTAGCAGGTAAATTCCTCGCCTGGCACACAGTGTCTCCCATAAGTGCCCTTCTCTAGGCCATGTGGGTGCCATTTCCAATCCTTGCAGCTCTGATTTCTATCCAGCTCCCTGAAAGTGGTCTGGGAAGGCAGTCAACGACAGCCTAAAGCCTTGGGACACTGTGCCTAAATGGTAAACCAAGAAGAGGTTCCAGGTTCCTGGCTTAGAATCATCTCGTCTCTGGCATGGTAGCACCTCGGGGAGTTCATCAGCAGACAGAAGATCTTCCTATGTCTCTCCTCCTCTCTGTCTCCACCTGAATTGTCAAGTAAAAGAATAAATAATAAACCTTAAAATATATATATAAAGAAATCACATAAAGAAATCACATAAAGACATGTGATTGTTTTCCTATGCTGAGCTATTACTCTACTTTCTTTCTTTAAAAAAAAAATCCTTGTAGGATCTTAGTAAAGTCACAGAAATGCTCATTTCCACTGTCACTAAGAACATAAAATGTTCCGGGGAATACATTCATGGAATTTTCAAACTCTCCCTGTCCTGGAGTAATCATTCTACACTAGAGGCATAAGTAATAAACAGCGAATAAACATCATACTCATGGTTTGACTGCCCAACTTCCTCAACATCTGTTGTCATCTGAGAGCACATTTATTTATTTATTTATTTGTTATAAAATTGTTCTATGAGCATATTACATGACTATCACATTTAAATCTTTGGTCTTATTGTTCTCCCAGAATTCGTTCTGTGAGAGGCTTATTGTCAATGTATACTAAAGGAAAAAAAAGTCTATCTCAATGTAGACATACTATTATTTTTACTTTTTAAGGTAAAGTTTCCAAACCTGCACTTGAAATGAAGTCTGGATGTCTTTAGTAAACATCTCATTAGGTAAACTTTTTTTCTTTTTCTTGCTTTTTAGGTCTACAATACTTTTCCAGCTCTCATTGACTATTTTCCAGGGAGCCATAACAAAGTTTTTCAAAATATGTATTACATCCAGAATTTCATCTTGGAAAAAATAAAAGAACACCAACAATCCCTAGATGTGAACAATCCTCAGGACTTTATTGATTGTTTCCTGATCAAAATGGAACAGGTAAAATATGAACAGCAGCTCAGAGAGTTGATTGCTTTGTGCATGTTATGATGCATTTGATGATCTACTTGGCATGAGTGCAAGAAAGACAAGAATTCCTTAACAACCACAGGTGAGGACATTTTTAAACTGATGGAGAAACATTAGCCAGGGTGAAGCAGAGAGGGCACAATTTTGTATGTGTGTATGGATCTGTACCAGACCCTTATTTCTTACCACAAACAAAAGTCAACTCAAAATTGATCAAAGATCTCAATGTTGAACCTGAATATACGAAGTTACTGGGAGAAGATGGAGGAAAACACTCCAAAACATTGTTGTAGTGGATCAACTGACTTCTTGAATACAAGCTGCAAAGCACAGGCAACAAAAGTTAAACTAGACAAATTGGTTTAATTAGACACAGAAGCTTCAACACAGTAAAGAAAACAATCAATAGAGTGACAGAATTCAACAGAATGGATAAAATATTTCTAAGCTTCCTAACAAAGGATTAATATCCAGAATATTCCAAAAAAAAAATCCATAGCAAAGAACCTCAATAGACAGTTCTCAAAGAAAGAAATTAAAATGACCAACAAACATGTGAAAAAAATTCTCAACCTCACTGGCCATTAAGGAAATGCACATCTAAACCACAATGAGATAACACCTCATTGCTGTCAGAATAGCTATTATCTGAAACACAGAATAACAAATGTTGATGAGGCTGTGGAAAAAGGAGAACACTTGGGCACTGTTGGTAGGAATGTAAAGTATTGCAACCACTATGGAAAACTGTATTCAGGTCTTTAAAAATTAAAATTGACTTCCCATTGGAACTACCATGCCTACTACTTGGTATATAAACCAAACATATAAACATGTTGTATCTAATAAACTTAAATTAAAACCATGCTGTCAGCATTATCGTTTCAAATAATCTTCTCAATCTAAATCAAACCTTTTTTTTTTTCTTTGAACCGGCTTATCATCTCTTTTTCTCCAATTTAATCCCACATTGGCAGTTTGTGCGTCAATTCCACGGAATTGTGGTTCTCTTCAACTTAAACAAATCCGATTCCTCTTGAACTTTTCTAGGTGAACTTGACTGGGGTCTCACATTCCAAACAATTCCAGATTCACCTGTAGTACGTGGGAAAGCCTGATCCAAGTAATTATATTCCAGAAGAAAATCACACTCTCTTGATAGAAGATTATTACATCCCTTTATAACATGCATTTATCTTTATGTATTGCTATAAATTAAGACTCTCTCTACCCACAAATATCCAATCAAAAATGGCTTTAAGTGGTGTGCTTGTTTATCTTGCAAAAAATAAATCTTGTGGAGGCTAGTGTGATATAAGTACACTAATTCTGCCCCATCATAGGTTGCTTTACTCCCACTTGCTACCATCACACTTTGCATGCCAACTTTCACCTAAAATCCTACTCTCAGGTGCTGTATCACTTGTCTACACCTTTATATCCTCATTTTTTAAGACACGAAAGAAGTGATGCTAACAGGCCTTTGCTTGTAAATAGTGATCATGAACTATAACCCATGGAACAGGCAGCTGCTAAGAGGATGGTGATGAGGATTTTTAGGCAAGCAAGAACAGGTCACCTGCATTGCAGTCCATCATGTCACATAGATGTCTTTTCTACCATTTCTTCTCCAATTTTTAGTGGTGGCTTTACTTTATACAAACTGAATTATTTTGTAGTTACTGCAATCAATAAGCTAGAAACTAATTCATCAAATAATTTTATCAACTCATTCCCAGGAAAAACATAACAAGCAACCTGAATTTACTCTGGAAAACCTGAAAATCACTGCATTTGATTTGTTTGCTGGTGGAACAGAGACCACAAGCATCACCTTGAGACACGGACTCCTGCTCCTGCTGAAGCACCCTGAGGTCACAGGTATTAATATTGTAGGAAGTTAAAGTTAACAGTCTGTTCTACAATGACATGAAGAAAACAGCTGAGTCATTGCCAATAAATTTGATGAATTAGCCCACATTTTACTATGAAATTTATTTGCCTTTAGAGTTTTTATCAGAAAGTCAAGATGGCAAAATAGGTAGAGGACACATTTAAACAGATGGAGAAACATTAGCCAGGGTGAAGCTGAGAGGGCACATTCCAAGAAATAGGAAAGGGCAGACCAATGTCTGAGCAGCACCTGATGGCTGCTGGACACAGGAAAGAAAGCATTGCATTACAATGGTGTGGTGTTGCAGTCATGTGATATGCCAACGACATTCAGCAAGGGATGATCTGACCTACACTGGCAGCTGAAATGCCACCAGCAACCAGGTGGGAAGAGGAGTTCACTGGGAAAACAAGAGGTGAACCCTGCCAAAAAACTGCCCATCCTGCTGGCCAGTCTGTTTCATTTGACCTGGAGCAGAGACAGACACATATACAAAACAGACAGTGCAGGAACATGGTGGATTTCACAGCCCAAAACCCCAGTAGAGCCAAATAGGGCACTGTCATGTGTAGGCAGGCAATATCTATGGGACAGGAATGCACATTCACTAAATAAGAGCAACCTCATTTTTGGCTCAGTGAATTGCACTGATGTGACAGCCTTAAGGTTCCACCCAAAATAGGTGCAGATAGGCCCCAGACCTAATGGCCAATAGATCAAGAACTCCACCAGTGGCATAACAGGTGCCATTTTATATAGTGTGTCAAAGGTTTTGAAACTGTAGGGACAACAGTTAGCTGTGCATGCAAATCCATCGAGCTCAGTACATTGCACTGGTCCCAAATCAAAAATAATACCAACAGTGGCATCTTGCAACTCAAAATATCTGTGAGTGGCCAACAGACCCAATGGCCATCAGGTTCTGGCAAGATCAGCACTGCCAACAACCTAGCTATTCAGAACACCCAGTGTTTCCCTAATCCTGAAACTATGCAAACGAATTGGAGAAATGTTGTACAGATAATGGTACAACAACAGTATGGGATCACAGGAGGTACAGTGCTAACGAAGGAGCTGGGTTATGAAGGCCATGGTGGAAGTATAACATAAGAACCCAGATCTGAAACTGGCTGTAGGAAGTGGAAAAAAGTTCTTTGTTTGACTGCAAACAAAGAACTGTGTACAAACTACAATCAATAAAATCAAATTGCAGTGACACAGCTTGAAAACTTGACCTAAGGAGAAGAATCTGCTAACCAAAAATACAATGACCAAGAGTAAAGGAAGAGACAAAGGCACAATGAATATTACTAAAGACTCCCCTGCAAAGCAGCAAAAGCCTTTGCCAACCTCAGAGTTAACTGAGGAGACATCGAGAAAATGGGAAATAAAGAATTCAAAACACTTATTACAAAGTTTCTTATCAACAGTGAAAAACACATGCAGAAAATTATGTAATGTATCAAAAAGAAATAGCAACATTGAAACAAAATCAAACTGAAATATTGGAAATGAAGGATACAATACAGCAAATTAAAATTTTAGTGGAAAGTTTCAATAATAGAATAAAGGAGGCAAAAGAAACAATCTTAGAATTGGAAAATGTTTCTTGTCACAATGGGAAAATGCTAAATGCAGACCTGGGCCAAGCTAAAAAAAAAGTATGCCAGAATTAAGAGTCACTGTTAAGCGGGCAAATTAAGAGTTCCAGAAGGTGCAGAAAGAAAAGGTGGGTTTAAAAATGTGTTTAATGAAATAATAAATGAAAACCTCCCTAATCTGGAGAAGAAATTGGGAAACAATATCCAGGAAGGGCACTGAACTTGCAACAGGGTTGACCAAAAGCAGTCTTCACTAAGACACATGATAATTAAGGTCTTGTCAATTGAGCAAAAGGATAGTATCCTTAAATATGCTCGTGAAGATAACCAACTGATGCATAAAAGAATGGCAACCCTTTGTCATTGTCCATGCCCACAATGATGGACTTATGGCTGTTTATGAGGAACTATGCTATTGTAATGATACAGGAGATCTCTGTATGAGGTACATGAGGCATTAGCAGAGGTGATAACAAAATTCCCATGGCCCATGAAGCTGTATCATAAAAATGATAATAATATGATAATAATATCATCAGTAAAGAGAGTTTATAAAAAAGTGTTTTGGTCAACTTGGGCTTTGTATGTGATCTAAGCATGTTTAAGGAAACCTACACTAAGCGATCACACTTGAGATATTAAAAGTATTCAGTGCATTTTCACATGAACGCCATTTACAGCTTAGAATAGCTTTGTTAAGGCATAACTCCATTGTAAGATGAGAGGCATCTATAGGGAATTACCAGTAAAATTTAACTTTAAAATATGTATATTATTTTAATTTTTTAAAAAATGCCTTCTGATTTTTATCTGCATTGCCAATAGTTTCTGGAATTATGTGATAAATATTATGTTCATATTTTTAAATATATACCATCTTGAACTTGCTAGCTGCCATGAATGCCAATTGATTGATATGTACAAATGTACCATGTGCCTGGCCTGTGTGAGAGTCACATATCTCCATTTTATGCCAATTAGTTTATATATTTCAGTATGTTGGAAACATGTAATTCAAATCTAAATGCCTTTGGGATAATCCCATGTTTCTTGTAGCTCTAACATATTCTGTCAACTATGCCAGTTTTCTCTTTCCTAACAGTTCTTTCTTATTTTTTTAACAGCCAAGGTCCAGGAAGAGATTGAGAGTGTGATCGGCAGACACCGGAGTCCCTGCATGCAGGACAGGAACCGCATGCCCTACACGGACGCTGTCATACATGAGGTCCAGAGATTCATTAACCTGGCTCCCACTAACCTGCCCCACGCAGTGACGCATGACATTAAATTCAGAAACTACCTCATCCCCAAGGTAAAAATATTTCTCTCACACTGCACCTCCACATTCTCAATGTTCCTAAATTCATTATATCAGCCCATTATCTCCCAGAACAACAAGGGAAGAACAAATCACATAAATGTGGCAGCTTGGTAGACTTAACGCTATTTCCAAAATAACTCTATTTGGGCCAAAATTTGCATCAAAAAAGTAATAAAAATAAAAATGTAATTATATTTTCATGTATCAAAAGAAAGGAAAAAGTTTAACATTATCTAGTAATGTGTCTTTGAAGTTTCTTCCACTTTTTTATTATGGGCCTGCTATTAGCTCTGTACATTTCCAAATAAATATTGGTGTCAAATGTCAAATTTCCAAGCCTTTCCAAAAATTTTGGAAGTTGACTTTAATCTATAGCAAAATTTAGAAAGAATGGTGATCCTAACTTCTTCAATATTTCAGTATATGACCATTGCATATCTTTCCCAAATTTTACAGACTTAATCATTACAATTGGGCACACATTTTATAAGGCTTCTTCCTGTTAAGTAATATTTGTGTTCCTACTATCAATAATAAAATATTAAATGCTTTTTCTATTTCTTGATTTTCAGTAGGCAGAATGTAAATACATTTTATTTTGATCATTTGTTGTTACTAATTTGCTAAACTCATCAATTACTATTAATGATTGCTTGCATAGATAGCTGAAGCTTTTTGTGTGTGTTATCCTGCTAGCCAGAATGATATATGTTTTATTCCTTGTTTTCTAAGTCTCATGGCCTTAATTTCCCATTATGACAAGGTTCTCAAGAGAGTGTTGAGCAGAAGTAGTGGGGGTAGACATCTTTGTTTCATGGTCTCTCTGAAAGTGTTTAATACCAGTGTAACTGCTCCTCTTCATTTTATTGTATGAGAGATGTCTGCTTTCCTCAATCTCTGTATGATGTTTTGTGATCAATGTATGTCCAGTGCGATTAAATGAATTCCATTGATACACACATATATTTGGCATCACTTTGCCAACAAAATATGCAAATCATATTTTCTCACCATGTAAAGGAATCTTGTATCTATATTTGTGGGAAGTCATTCTTTAATATTTCTTTTTATTATTATTATTTAACTTTATGACACAGTTCCAAAGGCTCTGGGATTCCCCCAACCCCTCCCCATGCCCTTTCCCCATATTGATTCCCTCCATATTATTACAGTATTATAGCTCATAACCAGTCATAATTCCATCATTATCAGCATGGACCAAGCAGAGAGTCCATTGTCAAGATAAATTCAACAGTTTCTTAGACCATCCTTGATCTGAAAGTAGAGCTGGCACAATATCATCCCCTCCAATGAAAAACCATAACACAAATTCAACAACAGGAAGAAACATGGAAATTTACAACACCATGAAGTCAATTGACATGCTATGGAGTGACCAATGTGTTAGAAAATGCAAGTTGTTAACCACATCCTGTAACTACTTCCTTGACATCTCAATTTCAGTTTATACATAACCGACTGCTGTAAACCTTAAAATGGTTATAGGATACTATTCAGCTATCTCGTGTCTTTTTTTTCTTCATACTTACGTTTAGCAGCTTATAGCATTCATGCAGATTTTACTGAACTTTGTGAGTTTTAGGATAATTCAGAACAGTTTTAGGAGGGTGCACAGAGAAATCTTCTCTAACTTAGTGAGGAGTAACTGATCTTTGTGTCCTAACTAGTGAGGTATATGGGAGTCCAAGCTGACTTTTTCCTGTCTGTTCTAAGCTTTCCTTATTGGTCTCTGTCTGTCTATCTGATCTAATTTTGGGGGATTGGAGTGACTCTGATGGTCATTGCAAGAGAGGATGGGGAGCCAAAGTTGGAACTAAGTAAGGGCCAGAGAAAGCCCCTCTCCTGAGTTCCAAAGGAAGCTTACTGTTCTGTTTCTAAGGACCGCTCAGGACATTGGCTGTTGTTCTGATGTCATTAGACCCTGTGAGGATGGTTCTGGGCTTCTTCCATCCCATGTGGGAGATCCAAAAAGAAATGGTTGACCTCAGAATTCTCAGCCTATGAGGGCATTCCAATTCCCTGTGATCTCCTTGGCAATTGGGATATAGTCCTTGGTGCCCAAACTGATAGTTCTTCATGAGGTATCCACTGCTTCTGTGGTGAAAGCATTTAGGAGGTTACTAGGAGTCACCAGGGTCAAAATACAAGCCTCCTCCTGTTCCAGTTTGGGGTCCCCTCTTGCTCTGTGCATACGACCTCCTGTTTAAGAGGCTATCAGGATAGCTCTTGGATTCCACTGTATGTCTTTATAGTTTTTGCTAATGTCTAATGTAGATTTAAGTATGCTGTCTATAAGTTACCCATTACAATCTTGATAGATTATACTTAACATCTTCCTCAAGCACTCTAAGAAGGTGGAAGATTTCTCTGCTCTCCCAACCCGTTGTGGAATAACATAGGGTATTAAAAGCACATCAGGCTCCCTGAGTGGTCTGCAGAAACAGAACAGTTAAGTTCCTTCGGGAGTAGGGAAGGGAGCTTTCTCTGGTCCTTGCTTGGTTCCAACTTTGGGTCCCTACCCCCTCTAGCAATGACCATCAGGATTGCTCCAGAAACCCCTCAAAACAAACAAACAAGCAAAAAAAAACTAGAATAGATAGACAGAGAACAACAAGGAAAGCTTAGAATCAGACAGGAATCAGTCAGTGTGGATTCACTGATACCTTACTAGGTGGGACATAAAGATTAGTTACTCCTCACTAGGGTACTGATTTCTCTGCACATCCCTCCTAAAATTGTTCTGCACCTAAACTGTTGACATATGTCTTGTTAGAGTGATAAGCCAGTCTAGACTACCCAAAAAACAGCCAGGTTCAGCAAAATTATGCTACAATGCTATAAAATCCTAAATACTATAATGAGAAAAAGCACAAGACAGCTGAATAATAATCTGTAACCTTTTTAAGGTGTATAGAACCCAGTTGTATATAAACTAAAATTGAAATGCCAATGAAGAAGTCACAGGATGTAGTTAAGAACTTGCATTTTTTTTCTTCTTCTTTTAACATATTGTTACTCAATACTATGTCAACCAATTCCATAATGTTATAAATTGTGGCTGATGTTATGTTGGGGCTTTTAATTGATTGGGATGATACTGTGCCGGCTCTACCTTCAGACCAGAGAAGATCTCCCCAAGAAGCTGTTGAACTTATCTGGACAATAAGATGCTGGGCACTATGCTTGGAATATGCTTGCAATGAAAGAGTCTCAACTGAACTTGAACTGTGGTAATGCAACAAGGTGGAGGAATCCACCATCGGGAGAGGGTTTAGGGAGGGGTGGACACATACCTACACTAACTTAGACCAGAAATATGTTTTTCCCTAAATCTATTTAGAAATCCTTTATTACTTCAAGTGTTAAAAACGATGTACAAGTTTGTCATGAGCTAGTTGGATGAGTAAAAGTTGACTTGAACTAAAGGGGAGCATTAATGCTCACATTTGCACAAAATTGTTTGAATATTCATGTTTTTCTAAAATTATCACTGTATTTGACTAGATCTCAGCATTCTGCAATATGTTGAGAGTATCATAAATTCTAGTGTTTATTTCCTATCACCTTTTAAAATACAAAACTCCTGAAATGGAAATACACTGGGTCTATGAAACTTCACTAACGAGAATGTACACTTCTAAAAGGGTAAATGCTCAGATTTGGGGATTAAAGCAGAGCAAATGCAACATAATAAAAGTAGTTCACCAAGAATGATTGTGAGATGCCAGATTAAATTAACTGAGGATGAATAACTTGTGCTTATGCCTTATATCAAATAGGAGTTAGATGAAAAGGGGGTCATGTTTTTCCAGTTTTTTTTTTTAATTTCTTTTATGTTTATTTGAAAGCAGATTTGCAGAGAGAAGGAGAAACAGAGAGAAGGCCAAAACACCTGAAAACAAGCTAATTCAAAGCCAGAGGTTTCTCAGGGGTTAACACATGTTCCACTTATCCAGGGTCTAGAACATCCTCTGCTGCTTTCCAAGGACAAAACCATGCAGCTGAATGGGACGTGCAATAGCCAGGAATAGAAGCAGTTCCCATAACGGAAGCCAGCACTGGAAGGCAGAATTTGGTCTTTAGGCCATCATGCTGACATGAAAGAGTGTATGTCTTCCAGTTTACATTCATCAGGGGGAAAAAAGTTCATCTAACTCAACTTTATTGCACTTTTAAACGAGATGTAATTGGGGCCAATGCCATGGATTCCCAGGCTAATTCTCCAAACTATGCTGCAATATGAGTACTGATTCATATGCTGGATTTTCCACTACTCTTCCAGCTCTGCTTCTGCCTAGCAAAAAAGAGAAGAATAGCCCACGTCCTTAGAATCCTGCACACATATGGGAGACCTAGAGGAAGCTTCTGGATCCTGACTTCAAATTAGTTCAACTCCACCCTTTGCAGCCATCTGGGGAGTCAACCAGAAGATAGAACAATTTCTCTACCTCTCCTTCTCTCTAAAGCTGCCTTTAACTATTTGAAAAGTCTAACAGGAATGTCACTTCTTTTCCCCTGGATTAGCAATTTCTCAACCAAAAATGAAATAAATGAAAACCAAGTAACCTTCAACATCTCTTCCAGCTCCTTGACGTCAGTATGCTTCTTTACCTGTGCCTGTTCTTTCCAGGGCACAACCATAATAACATCACTGACATCAGTGCTACATGATGACAAAGAGTTCCCCAACCCAGAGAGGTTCGACCCTGGCCACTTCCTGGACAAGAATGGCAACTTTAAGAAGAGTGACTACTTCATGCCTTTCTCAACAGGTAAGAGAGACTCCATTATTCAGAGGTCAAGATTCACTTCATGGAGGCTTTTGATCTGGATCATGCCTGGTCCAGGACCTGGGAACCTGCTATCTGTGAATGATCACAAACAGCTCAGTGCTCTGGCACCTTCCCTGCTCATGATGTATCCTCATTTGGAGGCTGACTTCTGCTCTTTCCACAGTAAGAGTGGTAGAGGAAGGGTTGAATTCTGCCTCTCAATGCATTACTCTATCACAAACACTACTCCTTCACTGCCTAGAAACAGAATAATGATTCAAGAATCTATTTCTAACTGTTAACTGAAACCAGAAAAAGTGAGAATCTACAGATTGAGGGGCTCATGGAGGGTAATGGGACAAGTAAGCACAGAAAGACGGAGCTGCATGATCTCAGCTACACATACACTCTGCAACACTAAGTAATTACTAGGGCTTCCTGATCAGAAGCAGCAATGTAAGAGACAGATTGAAACTGCTTGACATGTTGGAGACAGATGAGGACAGCTGGTGGCTAGATACGAGGCTAAAGAGATGGAATCAATACAGACAAAGATCGTGCAATAGAATAGCTGACAGTGAACAGGGAACATAAGCAATCAGGGTGTGCCTCTACAAAAAGGATTGGAGGAAGAGCCACACAGAGCAGACATTCTATAAATTTGCTTATCTGATAATTCCTGTTAACAAAGCTATGACTTGTGTATAATGCATGTCCATCCACTTCTCCATCAATAACATCAACCATCCTTCCAATCACCTTTCAGATTCACTTGGGAAACATTCATTCAATAATCCATCACATGATAATGGTACATTCTTTCTCTGCCAAAAGGAACATAGTATTCAAGGAGTATCCATCCTCTGTGTTGTTGCTTTCAGGAAAACGAATGTGTGCGGGAGAGGGCCTGGCCCGCATGGAGCTGTTTTTGTTCCTCACCACCATCTTACAGAACTTCAAGCTGAAACCTCTGGTTGACCCAAAGGACATCAATATCACCCCAGTTTTCACTGGATTGTCTTCTGTACCACCAGAATACCAGCTCTGCTTCATTCCCATCTGAAGAAGGGCTGTTGGCCTGGCTGCATCTGAGCTGTCATCAACAACTCCTCCTGCTGGGTATCTCTCAGCTCCTTCTCTTTAGAGTGATGCCTCTATGACCTCATCTCCCTTCTCATCCTTTCAGAATGCATTAACCATCCAACTTCCTCATTCTTCATTCTCCCCAGATGTATTTGGCAACTGTGTCTTTTATACACATGTAATCCATTAATATGATGTCACCAAAACCAGACCCAAACTTGGAAACTTCTTTTGGTGGGAAATGAAGCAGAGAGAGACAAACACTAAATGATTTCAGTTACATATAGGATCCTGAAGTTTGAACTCATGGAAGTAAATGGCAAAATGTAGTTCATTAGTAGATGGTGAGGGTGAAGTGAATGATGAGAAAAGAGTTGTTGGCTAAAACCTACAAAACTGTTACTTTGATAAGAGGAAAATTTTCTAATGACCTTTTCTACAATGTGATGATTATAACTACTAATAATGGATTGCACATTTCAAAATTACCGCTTGCACGTTACACAAAATCTTTGCAGTGTGTAAAGTTCACCTGATTGCTTTATGGAGAATGCATCTGAGAGCACCAAAAGGAGCCCAACCCAGACAAGCTGAAACATTGTGATCCCAATTCCATTCCCTTCTCTCACTCTCCTCCTAAAGTGCCTTTATATTTCTCTTTTTTTTAAGATTTATTTTATTTTTATTGGAAAGTCAGATATACAGAGAGGTGGAGAGACAGAGAGAAAGATCTTCCGTGCGATGATTCATTCCCCAAGAAAGCACAATGGCCAATGCTATGCCGATCCGAAGCCAGGATCCAGGAACTTCTTCCAGGTCTCCCACACAGGTGCATAGCCCCATGGTTTTGGACCATCCTCCACTGCTTTCCCAGGCCACAAGCAGAGAGCTTGATGGGAAGTGGAGCTGCCAGGATTAGAACCAGCACCCATATGGGATCTCGGCGCATTCAAGGCAACAACTTTAGCCACTAGGCCAAGTCGCCAGTCCCAATATCATTGTATTCTTAGAACTCTATGTAGGGACTACAAGAAATCTGTTCTCTTTTTTATTTTACTTCTTTTTATTTTGTCATGTTATGATACAGTTCCATAGACCCTGGGATTTCCCTTATCCCTTCCCCAATTCCCTTCCCCCTCACTGAGTTCCCTTATATAATTATTATAGTATGGATTTTCATACACAGTCATATATCAATTATTGCAAAAATGGACAGTGTTAGACAGTCCAACACCTTATTATCAAGATACAGTAAACAGTTGCATTGGGATTCCATCGTTGATCTGGAAGTAGAGATGCATATGCATTGTACCCTCATATCTTGATATGACAGTCTCCATTGCACAATTGCTATACATCCCTTTAAATAAGAAATCACAATACAAAATCAACAACAGGAAGAAAAACAGAAATTTACAATGCCATGAAGTGAAATAACATGCTGCTATATATGATAGTCTCCATTACACAGTTACTATACAACCCATTAAGTGAAAAGCCACATAACAAAATCAACTATAAGCAACAAATAGATAGATGGGTTTTGTTTCTCAATCCAGTCTACTCATGAATGACACTTGATTGCTGAGTTTAAGCCATTTACATTCAGTGTTAATATGAATGGGTGATTATTTCGTCCTGTCATTGTAGCAATGAGTTGTTCATTGATTTAGCCTTCTGTTGTTATTTTATTGGGATGTTCTGCACATTTGCCTTTGTTTTTGGTGGGTGCTATTCCCTTTCCCTATCAAGACAACATCTTAAAGTAGCATTTGTAGGGCAGGTTTGGAAGAGGCATGTTCGTTTAAATTTTCTTTACAGTAGAAAAATTTTATTTCATTTTCAAAGACAAAGGAAACTTTTGCTGTGTATGTTATTCTGAGCAGACAGATTTTTGCTTTTAGAATCTGGAATATGTCACTCCATTCTCTTCTTTACTGTAGAGTCTTCTGTGAGAGATCTGTGAGTTTAGTTGGCATTCCTACATATGTTAATTGATTTTTTTTTCACGTGCACATTTAAGGATCTTTTCCTTATGTTTAATTGAAGAGAGCTTGATGATCATGTGTTGTGGTGAAGATCGCTTTGGTCAACACTGTTGGGAGTTTTGTGCCTCTCCTAGATGTTGTTTCCCAATTCTTGCTCTAGATTAAAGAAATTTTCCCTTATTATTTCATTAAATACATTTGAAAACCCAATTTCTCTTTCTGCTCCTTCTGAGACTCCTATAACTCTTATTTGGCCTTTTCATAGTGTCTTTCAATTCTTGAATGCCTCTTATGGCCTGATCCATCTCTGCTTCCAGCTTTTTGTTTGTTTCCCCCGGTGACAGGAAATACCTTCTAATTTTGGGAATCAAGATGGTGGAATAGGGTAAGGACAAGTTTAAACAGATGGAGAGATATTAGCCAGTGTGAAACAGAGAAAGCACATTCCAAAAATAAGGGAGGACAGAACAACAGCAGAGGGGCACCTGGAGACGGACAGACATAGGAGCAATGGAAACAATGGTTTGGCACCACAGTGACCGAAATCACAGCAGCATTCAGGGAGTGGTAATCAGATTCATACCAGCACATGGAACTCCACCAAGCAATCAGGTGGGATTGGACTTTCACAAGGAACTCAAGAGGTGAACCCAGACAAAGAACATGCTGTCCTGCTTATCTGTTTGATTTGATCTGGAACAGAGACAGAGCAACAGAGCCCAGATTGGCACTGCGGGAAAAGAGTGAATTTCACAACCCAATCTGCTCCCTTGCTAGAGCCATATCGGGAGCCATTTTGTTTCAGGAGGCAACAGCTATGGACAGTACTATGTATGCACTGACCTGTGAGTGAACTCATTAGTGACTCAGTGAACTGCAACAACATGGCATCCTTCAATTTCCACCCATGATAGGTCCAGATAGCCCACTGATCTGATGGCCATCAGATCAATAAATGTAGTAGTGCACATTTGGTATATTTTGTACAATATGGCCAAGAATTTAAGTGAAATATTGCCTTTTCCTGCAATATACATGGACCTGGAGACCATTATTACATTTTTACAAATCAGGAGTAGAAAGAACAATACTGCAAATTATCATTCATATATGTTATCTAAACAAAGTGAAGCTATCAGAGTTGAGAGGGTAATGGTAGATGGCAGAGCTTGGGGCGATAGAAGACAGGGTGATGTGCAGATGTTGGTCCAAGGATTCAAAACTATAGTTAGACAGCAGTAACATTTTTTAGGAAATGTAGTGCACAGCAATGTGACTATTGTTGTTGATATATTGTGTTTCCTGCAAATGCAAAAAGGGAGTTGAATGCAGTTGTTAAGAATATCTAAATGCCCACATTCCATATCAGAATACCTGGATTCAAGTCTTATACACAGAACTAAACAAATAGGATCTATTGGGAATCCAAAATTATAGATAATAGTGTTCCTAACAGCATAGTGCATCAGAATCCCCAAAAAGACGCTAAAGTTGTCCATTAGTATAGCAAGAAACATTAAATTGTGGAATAGTTTGAAAACACTGTATAGGAGTCACACTTCTGCATTTCTACTCCAGTTATACATTTTATTATAACTTCATTATAATGGATTTACATTATTTTATTATTTTTTTATTTTACATTAATTTATCATATGTGTGATATATATTACATATAACAAATATATAGTGATTTATAATATGTCATATTAGAATTATATTACAATTTCTTCCTCTACATGCAGATTATGTTTAAAACCAAATATGAAGAACATACATAAATGTGCAATTCCACAGAAATTAAGATTAGAAAACTGCATGACACTGGATACATTTAGAAGGGGAGGTAGTTAGTAAATAAGAGCAGGCAAAAGGAATTTTTGGAATCCTGAAAAAATTATTTCTCTTCACCCTCTTTTGGTTACCAGGATACAAAGATACAAAAATTCATTTAGTATGATGTTTTAAAATGTGCATCATTCTCTATGGTGTCAGACAACAAAAGTGGTGACTTCCATCAAGAACAAAAAGCTCTAAAAACTGTGTGTGTGGAAATATTCATAGTGCTGCTTCCTGTCCTTGCATTTTTGCAGTGTTAGAAGATCCTTTGATGTGGAAGGAAACTGACATCCAGGATTCTAGAACAACGTGTTATCCTGATGCTGTGGTGACACTTCAGCTCCCACAATGGTTCACCTGCTTCTCATTCCTAAACAGGAAGGATTGAGCTCTGAGATCTCTCCTAACTCTAAATAATGATGAGTTCCTTCTTTTGATGGAATAGTGCCTATAAGGTGCCTCAAGGGAAGAAGAAAGGACTAGGAAACCCAACTCTTAGAAAACAAAGTAACTAACGTGAATAAATGAGATTACTCCATTCAAACAGGATGAGTATGATCATTTCCTAAACAATTTTAAAGTTGTGCAACACTACAGAAAATCACTGCTTTTCCTTGACATGGGCAAAGAGTTCAACATGACATGAGATTATGTAAGTGCAATGGTTTAACAATCAAACCTTTCTGACCTCCATTTGATTTAACTAATGCTGTAATTATTAACAAAATGTTGACTGTGAAAGATCCTGATGGAAAGATACTACCTCTTCCTGGCACAGTATCGGTTAATATTGGCTCTGTGTCACACACTAGGAGATCTGAGTTAGTTCTAGGCTCTTGGTTTTGTCCTTGTCCAATCTTCCTTTGGAAGTTATCTGGGGAGTGAACAAAACAAGAAAGATCTCTCTCTTTTGTCAATTAGCCACATTTAGCAACTCCAAACGCAAGATATACTTAAAAGGTGATGTTACATATTATAAAAAGATGCAGTGCCATGTGTTCATTTAATGGTAAGTTTAAAATTGTATCAGCTAGAAAAAAATGTATGAGTTAGGATACATTTTCATTTGCAGATGACCATGATATTGGTAATTCACATAAATATGCTGCAAAGATTTCCATTTGGAAAGACAAAATATCAAAGTACTTTTATTTATATGTTATTTTATTTGAAAAGTGGAGAGGCAATGACAAAAAGAGGTCTTTACCCTCTGACTTAACACCCCAAAATGCCTGCAATTCCCAGAGCTGAGCTAGGACAAACCAAAAGCCAAGAGTCTGCATTTCAATCTGGGTCTTGCAAGTGGAAGGCAGGAACCCTGGTGCACATTAGGAAGATGCTGGGTCGGAAATGTTAGAATCATGATTCAAGTCAATCATTCCTATATGGGAAGTGTGGAGTCAAAGCTACACATTAACCACTGCACACAATGCTTGCTTCATCCACTTCATGTTTAGTTAAAACTTACCGTGTAAACATGAGCCAATTACAACTCATGAAGCACACTGACTTTCAATAAAGATTTCTTTTATCCACATGAGAATTTAGAATGCTAAGAGTATTTTTAAA